CCCCAAAACCCCAAAACCCCAAAACCCCGACAGAATGTGAATAGCTTATGTAAGATATAAAAATATTAAGAAAAAATTAAGTTTGAAAAGTAATGGACACACACTTGTATTCTTAAATATTATATTTTTAATGCTCTGTGTGATGTTGTGTGAAGTTGAAGAGTTTTCATGTTTCATATTTTTATATAACTGGTAGCAATAATTAGAACATGTATTAATGAGTTATTTAGTTATTTTGTTTTAAAATATATATTCAATATTAAGGGGTGATAGGTTCAAAGGAAGTTATCCTTCAAGAGTTTAATGGAGAGAAAGTAATTAATGCCTCTTATAGATAATAAGTAGTCTAATAGCTTGATCAAACCGTCAGATTCAGTCAGCAATTATGAAGTTATCACAAATGCATGTTTAAATTATTTGAGAAGTTAGGATTTTAGGTTATCAGATCTGTTGACTTATATTGTTCTTGAAATAAAAAATTTTACTATTTTTTCTGCTCTAAAAATGACGACTTTAACTAATTTAGTTCTTGTTGAATTTGTGTGTCATGGGTGTGGGTGGTCGGATGAACAACTACTTGTCCGATTTTTTATTATTCGTTCTAAACAGGTTTCTTTATATTACTATTCTCGTAAAAATCCTCCTGGATTCTCTGTTATTGATAGATACATGAGAAATCGTTTGGATAATTATTATAGACTCTAAAATCAAAATTTAATGTTTCACTCATTTCCTCGTTATCATTTGGCTCAAAGTCAACTTATAAGTCTGAGCATTTTGATTAGTGTGATTTTAGTTAATGAGGACGGTAAAAGCACTTGCCGCATTGTTCACAAGAGTACGGCCTATTATAAAATTATTAGAATCCTTATATATAATGATTAAATATACGTACTTAATTTTGAGATGGCGCCTCTCATGATCAATTCTATTACCATTAGTGGCGAAGGCCCAACCGCAATGCTAACATACATAAGGTCTCTCGCCTGTGTGTGTCCTGATATGATGCCTGAGACTAGTTCTTTATGAAAACTTGCTGAAACAATTAGAGTATGGGCAAGCATAAGGCTAGATCCCTAAGTGTACATTTCGATGTCTTGACAGAGATGATTAAGAATTGAACGTTTTATGGCAGTTCTCAAATGTACATTAAAGAACTGTGAAACCTTTCTTCTTGATTTATTTATCGTAGTTATCGCTAGAAAATGTGACTTGCTTCCAAAAATCATCCTTTTGAGACTTTATGGTCTCAGTGTTCTGCAACATAGAAAATATTATTATATTAATTAATTTTACTATACCAGAGTAATATTTAATCAAAGAAAGTAAAACAATAGTAGTTGTATGGCTTATTTTAGTTACTAACTTTAAACATAAACGTTCAAATTTATATCTGCTTAATAAACTACATGGCTACCAATACTTATTGAAGGGGTTTTGGGGTTTTGGGGTTTTGGGGTTTTGGGGTTTTGGGG